GCTCCCAAATACAACAATTTAAAAACCGCAAAACTTTACCCCTCGCAGCCTCTGTGGGTCGGCAATCTGGAGGTGGCTGACCTGGATGATTCTGGGTCAGGGTCTCAAGGCAGGCTGCAGGCAAGGTTGGCCAGGGTTGGGCGAGCTCCCGACCACTTAGGGGGCCATGGAGACTCCCCACACACACACAGTGACGCTCACAGTGCGGCAGTTCCTCAGCCTAAAGAGCCAGAGAGAGTGAGGGCAAGGTGGGCTCCCAGTCTTGTTGGATTCCACCTCAGAACGGACATCTACCACCTTTTCTTCTGTTTCCTCAAAGCAAGTTACTAGGTCGAGTCAACATTCAAGGACAAGGCTGGAGAGACTGGAGCCATAGCACCGCGGGAATTTGCCGTGCACGTGGCCGACCCGGGTTCGATTCCCAGCATCCCATATGGTCCCCCAAGCACCCCCAGGATTAATTCCTGAGTGCAGAGCCAGGAGGAACCCCTGTGCATTGCTGGGTGTGACCTCCCCCTTCCCCCCCCCAAAAAAAGAAAATAAATAAAAGAAGGGTGGAGGAAACGGGCTGACTGGCAAGAAACTGGAACCATTAAGAAACACCTCAGGGACTGAAGCAACAGCACAGTGGGTAGGACGGTTGCTTTGCACGTGGCCGACCTGGGTTTGATTCCCAGCGTCCCATATAGACCCCTGAGCACCGCCAGGGGTGATCCTTGAGTGCAGAGCCAGGAGTAACTCCTGGGCATCGTGGGGTGTGACCCCCCCCCAAAAAAAAAGAAACACCTAACATCTCAGATTCATACACACACACACACACACACACACACACACACAACGTGCACACACTACCACAACCACCATCACCACCACCACTACCCAAACCTGTCCCCTCCTCCAACCATTAAGGCCAGGCCCAGCCTACCTGACGCCCACCCTTCATGCCTGCCTCCCTCTCCCTCCCCCTTCCGCCTTGATGCCAGGTGGGAGGCCCAGAGGCTCTGGGAGTCGGAGAGACTTACCTGTTCCCAGCCTCCACCCCAGCTGAGGAATCAGAAACTCTGGGAGCCGAGTTTCTCTGACTGCGCCCAGACAAGCCCACTGGGACTCTCACGTTCCTAGCATCTGAGCGCCACTGCCTCGTCTCTCAGGTGGGCGCTGCTGTCTGGGGTTACTGGCCTTCCCGGCTGCCAGAAGGTTCTGCCTGCTCCTCGTTCCTGCCCAGGGATGACCAGAGAAGCTGATGGCAGAGCCAGAGGACTCTTGCCAGCCCTGAGCCTGCAGCCTGTCCCAGGGCAGAGCCTCTGGGCCTCACTTTCAGCCCAGGGCTCCTTCGTGCCAGAGAGTCCTGCCAGTAACAGGCTGGGAGCCCCGGAGCGGGAGTCCCAGAAAGCAGCTAGGGCAGGGCCCATCAGCTCCATGAACCTTCACCGTGGCTCTGAGACCCTGGATCTAAGGACTCGGGGGCCTGGTGTCTGCCTGTGGATACCCAACACACACACACACACACACACACACACACACACAGAAGCTTCAAGAGGGGGCTTTAAAAGGGGGCTGTGCCCACATGCTGGGGGAAAACGCAGTCAGGACAGAGAGGAGAACCCTAAGCAAACGATAGTGGGAGGGATCGCCCAGGCTGGGGATGTCTGCTGAAAGCAGGCCAAGGACCAAACGCGATGGCCTCGCAGTATCTGTATCGCAGATCCCAAGGCCCAAAACCAGAGAGTGAGTAAGAAGGACTGCACCTGCCCCAAAGGCGGGGAGTGGGGTAGGGTGGGGGTGGCGGGCTGGATGCTGAGGACAAGGGTGGTGAGAAATGAGAGCTGGTGGAGGGGAGGGGGCTCGAGCATCGTTGGAATGAAACGCAAGCATGCAAGTCTGTGACTGTATCTCCTAGTGATCCGGTAAAACTCGTTTAATTAAAAATAAATAAATATAAATAAATAAATAAATAAATAAGGGGACCGTGGGCAGTGGAATGATAGTGCAGGACGGAGGGCATTTGCCTTGCACAAGGCAAACCCAGGTTTGGTCCCCAGCCCCCAGATGGTCTCCTGGAGGTGACCCCTAAGCACACAGCCAGGAATAAGCCAGGTGTGCCCTCCCCCAAAAAAAGGGGGGAGGTTTGCTGTGGAGGGGCTTGGGCAGGGCAGGGAAGCTAGAAGGTCCCACTGTAGCTTTTTCCCCCGAGGACGTGAAGGTCAGCAGGCACAGCACCTCCCCAGCCAGGGACCCAAGCCCAGTGCAACCCTTCCTGCCCTTCCCGAACCTCAGGGACATCTGCCCGGGGCTGCATTCCTGTTTCCAAGTCCCTCTGCCCCTTCCTCTGCCTCTTTGTGTTTGGGCATTGGGCTTGCGTGGTCAGGAATTCGGTCAATCCATTTAGTTGAGGCTCCAGCTCACTCTGACAACATTCAGATGAAACTGCCGGCTAGGAAGTGTGTCCTGCTGTCAAGCGCAGAGTCGTGCCTTGATAGTTAAAGGTTCATTCCTGCACTTTAAAAAAATGCATGAGGCGGGGCTGGAGCGATAGCACAGCGGGTAGGGCGTTTGCCTTGCACGCGGCCGACCCGGGTTTGATTCCCAGCATCCCATCTGGTCCCCTGAGCACCGCCAGGAGTAATTCCTGAGTGCAGACTCAGGAGTAACCCCTGTGCGTCGCCGGGTGTACCCAAAAAGCAAAAAAAAAAATGCATGAGGCAGGAGGTGGGGGGGTGGGGTTGGGAGAGAGAGAGAGAGAGAGAGAGAGGGAGGGAGAAAGGGGGAGAAGGAGATAGAAAGAGAGGGAGAGAGAGAGAGGAGAGGGAAGGAGAGAGAGAGGGAGGGAGAGAGAGAGTGTGTACAGCAGGTAGGGCATTTGCCTTGCACACAATCCAGGTTCGTACCCGGCATTCCATATGGTCCCCCGAGTTCCGCTGGAAGCGATCCCTGAGCTCAGAGCCAGGGGTAATCTCTGAGCACTGCAGGGTGTTCTCCATCCCCCCTCCCCCCAAAAAAAGGTAAAATGAAATAAATGGATGAAGGCGGTGCAGGCCTGGCATGACCTGAGCACTGACGACCCCATCCCCAGGTCACAACGGCTGCAGAAGCACCTGCCTTCTTACCCACTTTCTGCCTGACTCTCAGGGATTTCTGTCCCGGAACCAGAGTCCGAACAACAGGGCTGCAGGCAAAAGGCCTAGAACGAGGCCTGTGGGCACTGGCCAGTCCCGGCAGCAGCCTGGCGACCATTCCGCTGCTCTCTCCCCAGGCACAGGCGTGGGGACACTGACCCCCTGTCCCTCACTCCCTCTGGGAAGTTCTGCAAAGGACTGCCCCAGGAAGGAGGGGCCACCCTGGGTGGAAGGACTCCGGGGACTCCGCAACCCCTTGGGCAGCATCATTAGGGCCGGAGCGACAGCACAGCAGGGAGGGCGTTTGCCTGGCACGCGGCCGACCTGGGTTCGATTCCCAGCATCCCATATGGTCCCCCAGCACCGCCAGGGGTAATTCCTGAGTGCATGAGCCAGGAGTAACCCCTGTGCATCGCCAGGTGTGACCCCCCCCCCTAGAACGGGCGATGAGCTGCCCCTCACTATCCTTCCGCCATTGGCCCCCGATTCCCCCGGCTCCTCTGTGCAGCCCCTGTGGCCCCTCAGCGCAGAGGGCCTGGCCTGCTCAGACCCCCAAACCTCTCATCACCTCCAGCACCCGGCTTTCCCGCGGCTCTTTCCCAGGACAGAGGCAGGGGGAGGTCAGAAAGGCTTCCTGGGAGCAGGACGAGAAGGTCAGGTCCTCCGCCGCCCCGGGGCTGGGCTGGGGGACACGCATGTCAGGGAGGAGCACCCTAGGCAGAGCAGGGGGTGGGCGGCCAAGCACGGCCTGGGGCAGGGTGAAGGCAGAAGTGCTGCTGTCAGCGGGACAGCAGGCGACCTCGAGGGGGTCTAGCCAGGGCCGGTGGGGAGGCAGGGAAGGACAGAGACCGATTCTGTTCTTGGCGAGAGCCCGCTGGGTTGGCAGCACGTGGTTCCGGCCCAACTACAAGGTGGGCGGGCAGCTGACCCGGCTGGGGCGGGAGGTGCAAGCTGCACAAGGTCATGCCCAGGGGGTGGGAAAGGGGAGACACTGATTATCGGTTATTGATTGTGGGGATACGGGTGGGAGAGCGTGGAGGACAGTCACACTGTGGGGATGTGGGCCGGGAGGGGGCGAGGGAGAAGGCGAGCAGCTCAGGGTCCGCCCACCCCCTTGGCCGCGGGATCCCCATGCTGCCCCCCCCAAACACGGCATTTGACCGTCGCTCACAGAACCAAACACTTGATGCGCTCACCCGGCATCAGCACACACGCGCGCACACAGACAGGCGGGCACTCCGGGTCCCAGACCAGCAAGTTTCCCAGAAGCTGCCTACGTGCGGCTGCGGGGGGAAGTCTGGACCTTGGGAAAAGAAATCGGACTCTGCCGAGGACTGGTTGCATGGTCAAGAATGGACTCCAGCTTCGGGCTAAGAAAACACAGAAGGAGAAAGGAGACGGCGGGGGTGTGTTAGGGAAGGAGGGCGGTGGGGAGAACTTGATCACTTGATTCTGGTCATGTTGAAGAGAATCTTCAACTTGGGCTCAGAAACAAGCCTGGGCTAAGGTGGGAAATTTCATTCTCTCTCCCTCTCTCTCTCTTCTCTCTCTCCCTCTCTCCTCTCTCTCCTCTCCCTCTCCTCTCTCCTTTTCCCGCTCTTCTCTCTCTCTTTTTCTCCCTCTCTCCCCCACCTCCTCTCTCCCTCTCTCCCTCTCTCTCCTTCTCCCTCTCTTCTCTCTCTCCTCTTTCTCTCCCTCTCTCCCTCTCTCTCCCTTTCCCTCTCCCTCTCTCCTCTCTCTCCTTCTCCCTCTCTCCTCTCTCTCCCTCTCTTCTCTCTCTCCTCTCTCTCTCCCTCTCTCACCTCTCTCCCCCTCTCTCTCCTCTCTCTCTCCTCTTTCTCTCTCCCTCTCTCTTTCTCCCTCTCCCCCTCTCTGTCCTCACAGATGGGAAGATTTCTGGGGGAGGTGGACGGTGCGCTCATGACCCAGCTGCTCAGCGTGGGGGCGTTCCGCCGGTAAGTGGGACAGGCCTCTTTCCAGTCTGAACAGATACCGGAAGGCAGAAGGTGACGCTAAATCGTTTGGACAGATCTGGGATCCTGATCGCAAAACGCCACAGGAAGGGGGCGTGCAGGGCACAGGAAGGGCTGGGGTGTCTCTTCACTGTGTTCAAGGTTCAGTCCCCAGCACTGCAGAAGCCCCCCAAGCACTGTAAGGGGTGCTCCCAGAGGCTGCCCACAGCAGAAGTATCACCAAGCCTGAACATTAAACCCTCTGGCCAGTGTGAAAAGAATTGTTGGCCAACACCCTGGGCATCCTGACATGGTTTGGGAGGCCCCCAAAACACTCCATCACGAGAGTGTTGTGAAGAGGCAGTGGTGGGCAAAATGGAGGCAGAGAGCCAAAAGATACAAACTTCCAGACATAAAGTAAGCAAGTCCCGGGGCCAGAGAGATAGTACAGCTGACCCGGATCGGATCCCCAGTATCCCCTACGGTCCCCTAAGCACAGCCAGGGATGAGCCCTGAGCACAGAGCCAGGAGGAACACCAGAGTACTACTGAGTGTGACCCAAAACCAAAACAAGAAAAATAAAATAAATGAAGTAAGTCCTAAAAAAGGAACATTCAGGGGCTGAAGCGATAGCACAGCGGGGAGGGCGTTTGCCTTGCACGCAGCCGACCCGGGTTCGATTCCCAGCATCCCATAGGGTCCCCGAGCACCACCAGGAGAGCAGGAATTCCTGAGTGCAGAGGCAGGAGTAACCCCTGTGCACTGCTGGGCGTGATCCAGAAAGCAATATTATTATTATTAATAATAATAATAAAGCAAGGTGCCGATAGTTAACACAACTCTGGCATATCTGGGCATTGCTTGGAAGAATAAATCTGAAGACTCATCACAAAAAACAGTAAGGTGGATGGTGATGAGAATCACTGGGGTCATTTTGCTGCATCCACAGACCAGGGTTGGGAAACTGACACCGTCATAAGCTAATTACATAAAAATTTTATTATTTATTTATTTTTGCCTTTTGGGTCACACCAGAAATGCTCAGGGGTCACTCCTGGCTCTGCACTCAGGAATGACTCCTGGCAGTGCTTGGGGAATCCTACGGGATGCCGGGGATTGGAACCGGGTCGGCCACATGCAGGGCAAACGCCCCACCCGCTGTGCTATCGCTCCGGCCCCTACATCAAAATTTTAAAACCCGCTGAGGGAGGAGAGCCACACACACCGCAGCAGGTAGGACCACCTGCTGCAGACGCAGGTTCGATCCGCAGCGTCCCATATGGTCCCCCAAGCACCAGCAGGAGCGATTCCTGAGTGCAGGGCCAGGCGTGCCCCTGAGCAGGATAGTACAGTGGTCAGGGCTTTTTTCTGCCTCACGCACAGCTGAGCTAACACGGTGCCCAGCATCCTGGGGCTCACCAGGCCCCAGGTGCAGGACCAATCCCTGAGGACCACCGTGTGTGACCTCAAGCCCCCCAAATAAATAAATTGATAAAATAACTAGCGACACACACGGCAAGCCCCTAAGCTTCAAAAGCAGACGGGGCAGGAGGCGAGCGTGGCTCAGGGCCATGCGCTTCTGCTTCCGGCTTTCTTTAGAGGAAAGTGCAGGGATGGACTCTGCGCTGGCTCCTGAGTTCAGGGGGCAGTGCCTTCCCAGCGGGGCTCAGGGGGTCCTGTGGCGCCAGGCCCCACACAGCCCCCAAGGCAGGGCTGCACCTCGGCTCTGGCCTCTCTCGGGCTCCATCGCTACCTCCCCGTCCTGCCTCCGCACAGGAAGGAGCCCTGCCCCGACCGGCCACCATGGGAAGGGGGGGACACACACGCACTTCTCCTGCTCCCTCTTGCAGGGTGACCATGTACGATTACCAAGCCATGTGCGAGGCCTGGAGCCAGCAGCCCAGCGCTGCCCGGCCGCTGCTCAGCGTGAGTGCTCCCTACCTCCCCCGCCCGGCCCGCCAGGCCTACTCCTGACTCAGCCCTGGGGTTGACCCCACATCCGTCACATCCACCCCATGTGCGCTGCGCCCCCTCCTGCCTGGGCCAGCGTGTCCCCTCTGGGGCTCCAGGGGAATCGTTCGCGCAGCTCGCAAAATGATCTACTAAAGGGTTGGAGCGCTAGCACCGCAAGGAGGGCGTTGGCCTTGCATGCGGCCGACCCGGGTTCGATTCCCAGCATCCCATAGGGTCCCCCGAGCACCGGCAGGAGTGATTCCTGAGTGCAGAGCCAGGAGGAAGCCCTGTGCATCGCCGGGTGGGACCCAAAAAGCAAAAAGAAAAAAAGAGAGAGAGAGAGAGAGAGAAACCCAGTAAAGAAAGGAGCCCATTGTTTGGAGGATCCTCCCAGGAGGGGAGATGCATGTCGAAAGTAGACTATGGACTGAACATGTTTGCCACTCAATGCCTCTTTTGCAGACCACAACACCCAAAAGGAGAGAGAGAACACAGGGGATTGCCCTGCCACAGAGACAGGGGGGATGGGGGGATGGGAGTGGGAGGGATATTATCCATGGTGGTGGAAAATGGGCACTGGTGGAGGGATGGGTATCTGATCATTGTATAATCGAAACCCAAGCACAAAAAATTGTAAATCTACAACTGTAAAAAAAAAAAAAAGAAACAAACAAACAAAAAAAAAAAGAATGTGAACTCCATAGGAATGGAATCTGCATGACCTCATCACTTGATTTTAGAGCAATAAAAATAACACCTGGCTTGAAAAAATATATATTAGTCCAGGAAAGATTGGTTTGGCTAAATTAACTCAGAAAAAGGAGAATCTAGAGGAGAATCTAAAAAATCAAAGAAAATAAAGAAGAAAATAAAAAGATTATGAAGCAAAAAAAAAAAAAAGAAAGAAAGAAAGGAGCCCATTACCTCCCCTGCTCCCCATTGCTACTGCCCGTCCCCAAATGCAGCCACAAGCCTGTCACTTTAGGGGCACTGGGCCTTTCCCCCGAGGGCACCCGGATCACCAGATCAGGATGCCAGGGTGTGCGGGCCCTGGGGGCAGCTGCAGAGCCCCTGGGGGTTGTGGCCTCGGGCTCACAGCTGTCCCGTCCTCCCCAGCCACTCTCTGCCCTCCTGAGTGCCGCCAGGTGGCTGCTGATGGAGCTTCTGCCGTGAGTGGGGCATGGACACCGGGGCGGGGGCAGGTCCCGCGGGTCGTGTGGGCCCCTCCCTCTCCGGTTCGTAGGCAGGGGCGCCGGGGCAGTGGGCTGGGGGCCTGCGGCGAGTCAGGCCGCGTCCTGCAGGTCCGTGCTGGACGGCGGTGTCTGGGGCTTGTGGAACGTGCACTGCGGGGCCGAGGGTGAGTATCTGTCCCACCCTCGGGCTGGGCAGCTCCGGGCGGTCACTGCTCTGACCTCATCCTCCTCTCCCGTTTCTCATCACCCTTCTCTCGCTCCCCGCTCCCCTCACCCCTGCGTGTCCCATCACATCTCCGGCCACTTCATGCTTCCCGAGTCACCCACCTCCCATGTGACCTCTCCGCCTCGCGACACTCCTGTCCCACGACATGCCGCCGTGACATCACTCATCCCCCGGTGTCCTGGCAGCCAAGGCTGTCTTCCATCACTGTAAGTAGCATCAACCCCGCGGGCCGGGGCGTCCCAGAGTTCGGAGGGCCTGTCCCAGCCCGTCCCCTCCTGGGACCTCCCCTCCCCAACTCATAGACCCCTCCCAGGTCAAAGCACCATTTCCAGGGGGCTGTGGGGAGCCCAGACCCCGGGAGTCCAGCCCAACGTGTATGGCCATCACCTGAGGGAACATTCTGGGTGACGTGGCCGGTGACGGCTGGACGCAGGTGAGCAGTGGCCATTCGGTCACCCACGAAGCAGGGGACAGTGGTGCCCGGCTCAAGGGTTCTGCCCTGCTCGGTTCCAGTTGGTCAGACCATGAAGCTGGCGCCCGAGAAGGCATCCCCGCGTTCCCTGGAAACAAAGCAGAGAGCTCAGTCTCACCCAGTCGGTCCCCCCCCAGAGACGGACGCCTCGGAGAAAGACTCTGTCTTCTGCTGTGGTAGCCACACATTATAGGGCCCCCAATTTCCCCCCTTATCGGCCTCCCTGTCCCCCTTCATGAAGGTTCTGGAAACTTCTCCTCCACCTGGACTGCGCCACCCACCCAGCTTGGCTCAGGGTTTGGCTTCCAGATAAAAATACATTTCCAGGGGCTCTCGCAGGGAGCTGGCTCAGGCCGGCAGCCTCCTCCTGGCAGCGGGGCCAGGGGCTGGGGCCACAGTGGGAAAGGCACTTGCCGTGGATGCATCTGGACTGGGTTCGATCCCCGGCATCCCATACATCCAATACATCCCATCCTGAGCACCGGGAAGAGGCCTGGGCTCACTCTCCCCACCACGGGCAACTCCGCCTGCCTCCAGCTCCTTTCGGAATCGCTTCCCTCACAGGACACTGCACCAGGGGAGTCCACAGGCCCCCGGGCTGTGTGACAGGAACCAGGTGCCCAGAGTCCCCATGTCCCGCCCCCCTTGCCCTGCCCGGAGCAGGGGGACTGGACCCTGACCGCTCCCCACGCTGTCAGTGGTTTCATCTCCCCCTGGGCCCGTTGGCGGCATCCACTGCCCTGGCCTGGTTCCTGGGCTCCCCGTTCCCGCCCAGCTGGCCTGTCAGCCCTATCCTCGGGCACAGAGCACGGGGCTGGTGCTTCTCTCACGACCTGACCTTCGAAGCCACACGCCAGGCCTGGTGAGGTGACGTCCTTGCCACGGGGCCCGGGGGCGGGTGGCCAGGCGGGCCCTGGGTCTGCAGAGGAAGAGGCCCCTGGCCAGGCCCTGGCCAGGACCCCTGAGGGGACAGACCATGATTGACCCCCAGGCTCTTCCTCCTGCTGGGGACTCTGTGGCCTGTGGAAAGGCCACGCTCCGGCTGAGTCAGGAACCCAGAGGACCCGCTGCCACCCTGTGACCCCGACCCCCAACGCCAGGGCTCTCTAAAGGGGGCCGCAGCCCCGCCCCGCTCAGAGGAGTCCTGAGAGGAAGGGACCGGGCTGCCCTGAACAGGCGCCACCCAACCCTCAGCCTGCTGCTCCGGGCCCCTGCTTGCTGTGGCCTGCGCCCCCTCCACTGTCCGGCGCCTTCCTGAGGGGACGACCCACAAACACACACGCAGGGCCACAGCCCCCTCTGTGGCCTGGCCCGGCCCCCAGCTCTGCACTCCCAGGCAGGGTACACCAGCCACCCTGGAGAGACGCCCTGCACACCACGGAGAGTGTGAGACCCTTCAGGGTCTTAAATATATCACAAATCACAAATCACAAATCATCCTGTTAATCGTCGATTGCCTCGAGCAGGCCCCAGTAACGTCTCCTTCATCCTAGCCCTGAGATTATATTCAAGGCTCTTTAGGAGAATGAGACCCATCATTGTTACTGGTATTTGACATATTGGGTACACCACGGGGAGTTTGCCAGACTCTGCCGTGTGGGCAGGTTACATTCGGTAGCCTGCCAGTTTGTCCAAAGTAGGAATGAGATAATAAGATGTCATAATAGGATATATACACACACACACATATATATAAAATTTATTTAGTACTTTTTTTTTCATTCCATATCATCAGGAGGATTAATTTCCACTTGCTTTTCTTTTATTTGAGGGGGGGTGTCCACACTCATCGATGATGCTCAGGGGTTACTTCTGCTCGTGCACTCAGGAATTACTCCTGGTGGTTTCCGGGGAACCATATGGGATGCTGGGAATCGAACCCAGGTCAACCGTGTGCAAGGCAAACGCCCTCCCTGCTGTGCTATCGCTCCAGCCCCTCAACTTGCTTTTCTTTTATCTATATCAGATCAGTTGGTACCCAAAACGCTACCACCAGACTCCATAAACGATTTTTTTGTCGTTGTTCATGGCACATTTCACTTCATCAGAACCATCTGAATAGATTTGCTGAAATCATTTCTTTTGAGTGGCATCACCCTCCAATTTTCTTTTCATTTTCCTTCTTTAATCTCACCAACCAATTTATCCCAATTTTTTGCATCATGAGATGATGACGGACGTTGGCTCTCTGCACCTGCTGTGAAGGGCTTGTGTCTCCCCAGACCTCTGCCCACCCTCACGTCTGGACAAGCGGGCTGAGCGAAGCCTTGAGGGTGGCGGGCAATGGGGTCACCAAACATCCCGCTGAGCCCCACCCAAGAGCACCGGGCGCTCCGGAACCCACTGCCCCACTTCCAGCCCCTTTTCCCTCAGCTCAGCCCCGGGAACTTCTAACGTGGGAGCCACCTACAAAGGCGGGAACCTCTTTCCCAGGAGGGGACCCCGCGCCCATCACAGGCCTGGTGGCGGCCCCCAGGGTGAGGCCCTTTCTCCACCCAGTTTCCCTCCCCGCAGCCCACAAGCAGCAGAAGCAGCAGGTCCTGCAGCCCTGCGACACGGAGTACCCCGTCTTCGTGCACCAGACAGCCGTGCCGCAGGCCCATGGGGACATCGAGTGTGGTGCTTGCCGGAAGTAAGGCCTGCGGGGACATTTAGGGCTGGGGTGCTGGGGCCCCACTTCCCCTAGTCAAGGACACGTGAGTTGAGGCCCAGGCCCTGGCGCGGGGCCTCTGGGGACAGTGGGCAGAGCAGGGCCTGGGAGAGTGACCCAGAGGCCACACTCCGGGCCAGCAAGACCGCCCCGCCACAGGGCCCCATTCTGGGGGCAGAACAAGGGTCCCTAGACATGTCAGCTTCCCGGCACCCCTCCCTCACGGACAGGGCTGGAAACCAGGGCAGGAAGGACAGGTTGGCCCTTCCCTGGGGACCTGTGCAGCTGCAGGGAGGGGCGGGGGGGGCACATCTGGCAAATCTAGATGTCTGTGCATGGCCCTAGGGGAGTAGAACCCCCCACCCCCCCCACACACGCACACAGGTATGAGCTGTTGTTATGCGTCAGTTCTCTGAACGTAGACGGTAGGTCTTCTGATAATCAAAAATCAAACAGATTTCAATCGAAATCTGCCTCTGGGGACCAGAGAGCCTAGCAGTCAGGGCCACCACCACCGAGCGTCCGGACCCCCAGCGCAGAGGAACCAGCCCAGCACGCCTGCGTCCTCAGGCCCGAGCGCTCAGACTGGCCAGTCCAGTCTGCTGAGTTAGCCAGTATCTCGGGGCGCGCTGCTGGGGGTCTGCATCCCCACCCTGTCCGTATCCCACCCTCCCCCAGCCCCCCCAAAGAACCTTGTTGCCCAGGCCCGTGTCGTGCACAAGGGTCCTGCTACATCCCAGCCGCGATCTTCCAGCCTCCTTGGAGCATGGAGCCGTAACGACTGCAGCCCATGCCAGGAGGGCCGCGCGCACACCCCCGAGGGGGTCCGGCCCGCAAAGCCCCGGGTCCTCGGACCCACCCGTGGCTGGCCCAGCCTCCGCCGTGTGCGGCGCGCGCCACCTGGCGGCCGTCAGGGGCACTGCCGCGTCCCCGTGGGTTCCCCCGACTGTCACCCCCCGACCCTGCGTGCGCGCCTCGACCCCGCCCCCCGTCACTGCCCCAAGCGCACCCCCGGACACCCTCGCCCGGGCGAGCGGATGTGCCCCTCCGCCCCGACCCTGTCCCCGCAGGGCCTTCGCGATGCGCCAGGTCCCGCGCAGCGACCTCCTGCTCCTGGCCACCGGGCCCGCGTGCGCCTGCGACGGCCCGCTCGTCCCGCGGGCGCCCACGGAAGTCAGATATATCCTCCCGCCGGGGTCGCGGGGTGGAGGGGGGCGGGGGGCCGGGAGGCCAGGGCCCCGCCCACCCCCACTCCACGCTCACACCCTCCCCCTCCATCCCCTCCCGCACCCCCTCCTCGGGTCCACCGAGCACTGTTTGGGCTCCCGCCCTTCCTCCAGGCCCCAGGTGCTGCCCCTTGGCCCTGCCGCGCTCCTGGGGCTGCAAGTGATGCCCCCAGCAGGCGCGGACCCTCCTAGAACCCCAAGCAGGCGCGGCCCCTCCTAGAACCCCAAGCAGGCGCAGTCCCTTCTGGAACCCCGCGCGGGAGCAGCCCCTCCTAGAACCCCAAGCAGGCGCGGCCCCTTCTAGAACCCCAAGCAGGCGCAGCCCCTTCTGGAACCCCGCGCGGGAGCAGCCCCTTCTAGAACCCCAAGCAGGCACAGTCCCTTCTGGAACCCCGTGCGGGAGCAGCCCCTCCTAGAACCCCAAGCAGGCGCGGCCCCTTCTAGAACCCCAAGCAGGCGCAGCCCCTTCTGGAACCCCGCGCGGGAGCAGCCCCTCCTAGAACCCCAAGCAGGCGCGGCCCCTTCTAGAACCCCAGCAGGCGCAGTCCCTTCTGGAACCCCGCGCGGGAGCGGCCCCTCCTAGAACCCCAAGCAGGCGCGGCCCCTCCTAGAACCCCAAGCAGGCGCGGCCCCTTCTAGAACCCCAAGCAGGCGCGGCCCCTTCTAGGACCCCAAGCAGGCGCGGTCCCTTCTAGAACCTCGCGCGGGAGCGGCCCGTTCTAGAACCCCAAGCAGGCGCGGCCCCTTCTAGAACCCCAAGCAGGCGCAGCCCCTTCTGGAACCCCGCGCGGGAGCAGCCCCTCCTAGAACCCCAAGCAGGCGCGGCCCCTTCTAGAACCCCAAGCAGGCGCAGCCCCTTCTGGAACCCCGCGCGGGAGCAGCCCCTCCTAGAACCCCAAGCAGGCGCGGCCCCTTCTAGAACCCCAGCAGGCGCAGTCCCTTCTGGAACCCCGCGCGGGAGCGGCCCCTCCTAGAACCCCAAGCAGGCGCGGCCCCTCCTAGAACCCCAAGCAGGCGAGGCCCCTTCTAGAACCCCAAGCAGGCGCGGCCCCTTCTAGGACCCCAAGCAGGCGCGGTCCCTTCTAGAACCTCGCGCGGGAGCGGCCCGTTCTAGAACCCCAAGCAGGCGCGGCCCCTTCTAGAACCCCAAGCAGGCACAGCCCCTTCTGGAACCCCGCGCGGGAGCGGCCCCTCCTAGGACCCCAAGCAGGCGCGGCCCCTTCTAGAACCCCAAGCAGGCGCAGCTCCTTCTAGAACCCCGCGCGGGAGCAGCCCCTCCTAGAACCCCAAGCAGGCGCAGCCCCTTCTAGAACCCCAGGCAGGCGCGGCCCCTTCTAGAACCCCAAGCAGGCGCAGCTCCTTCTAGAACCCCGCGCGGGAGCAGCCCCTCCTAGAACCCCAAGCAGGCGCAGCCCCTTCTAGAACCCCAGGCAGGTGCGGCCCCTTCTAGAACCCCAAGCAGGCGCGGTTCATTTTGGAACCCCGCGCGGGAGCGGCCCCTTCTAGGACCCCAAGCAAGTGCGGTCCCTCCTAGAACCCCAAGCAGGCACAGCCCCTTCTAGAACCCTGTGTGGGGGCAGCCCCTTGTAGAACCCCAAGCAGGCGCGGCCCCTCCTAGAACCCCAAGCAGGGGCGGTCCCTTCTAGAACCCCAAGCAGGTGCGGCCCCTTCTAGAACCCCAAGCAAGCACGGCCCCTTCTAGACCCCCAAGCAGGCGCAGTTCCTTCTAGAACCCCAAGCAGGCGCGGCCCCTTCTAGAACCCCAAGCAGGCGCGGTCCCTTCTAGGCACGGCCCCTTCTAGAACCCCAAGCAGGCGCGGCCCCTCCTAGAACCCCAAGCAGGCGCGACCCCTTCTAGAACCCCAAGCAGGTGCGGTCCCTTCTAGAACCCCAAGCAGGCGCGGTCCCTTCTGGAACCCCACGTGGGAGCAGCCCCTTCTAGAACCCCAAGCAGGCGCGGCCCCTTCTAGAACCCCAAGCAGGCGCAGTCCCTTCTGGAACCCCAAGCAGGCACAGCCCCTCCTAGAACCCCAAGCAGGATCGGCCCCTTCTAGAACCCCAAGCAGGCGCGGTTCCTTCTGGAACCCCGCGCGGGAGCAGCCCCTTCTAGGACCCCAAGCAGGTGCGGTCCCTCCTAGAATCCCAAGCAGGCGCGGCCCCTTCTAGAACCCCAAGCAGGCGCGGCCCCCTTCTAGAACCCCAAGCAGGGGCGGCCCCTTCTAGAACCCCAAGCAGGCACAGCCCCTTCTAGAACCCCACGTGGGAGCAGTCCCTCCTAGAACCCCAAGCAGGCGCGGCCCCTTCTAGAAGCCCAAGCAGGCACAGCCCCTTCTAGAACCCCGCGCGGGAGCAGCCCCTTCTAGAACCCCAAGCAGGCACAGCCCCTCCTAGAACCGCAAGCAGGCGTGGCCCCTTCTAGAACCCCGCGCGGGAGCAGCCCCTTCTAGAACCCCAAGCAGGCGCAGCCCCTCCTAGAACCCCAAGCAGGCGCAGTCCCTTCTGGAACCCCACGCGGGAGCAGCCCCTTCTAGAACCCCAAGCAGGCGCGGCCCCTTCTAGAACCCCAAGCAGGTGCAGCCCTTTCTAGAACCCCAAGCAGGCGCAGTCCCTTCTAGAACCCCACGTGGGAGCTGTCCCTCCTAGAACCCCAAGCAGGCGCGGCCCCTTCTAGAACCCCATGTGGGAGCAGTCCCTCCTAGAACTCCAAGCAGGCGCGGCCCCTTCTAGAACCCCTCCGTAGCAGCGTTGGCCTTGACGAACCCGCACACAATGCCTCGGCCCAGTGTGACCGGCTGCGCTCGCGGAGGCCCCGGCGGCGGCCCGACTCCTGCCATGCTTTCCACCCGGAGGTGGGCTGCGCCTCACCCCGCATGCCCCGTGCCTGGGCGCGCGGGTGGGAAGGGACGGAGACTCCACGCGGGTCGGTGGGGCGCCCCTGGGCACGGGGACGCCCTGGGCCTTGTTGCCCAGGCCCGTGTTGTGCAGAAGCTGCTGCTGGACTCGAGGGCACCTGGCAGAGCGCCCCTCTGCCCCGCACGGGGAAGCTTTCATAGCTGGAACCGGGGGGACCCAGCCTCCACCGCAAGCCAGAGATAACCCCCAGCGCTAACCGCTTCCCTGGTCATTCTAAGCACACGACCAAGAGTGACTCCCCGACTTGAGGCCAGAGAAATAGTCAAGCGGGGAGGTCGCTGGTCTTGCCTGGGGCCGATCGGGGTTCGAACCCACAGGGTCCCCCCCACCCCACCCTGGAGCATAGCCAGGAATGATCCCGGAACACAGAGCCCTGAGCATCACCGGGTATGGCACAAATACAACAAAGTGACTCCCAGGCGCGCGCGCATGTGTGTGTGTGTGTGTGTGTGTGTGTGTGTGTGTGTGTGTGTGTGTGTTGGGGAGAGGGGTGGGGGGTGCGAATGTGTGGGCAGCCTCTAGTGCCCTTGTGGGCCGGAGATGGCACAGGGGTTGAGGTGCGTGAGTTGGCGCCGTGGTACCCACACGTGCGCACGGCCAGCACCGCATCCTCGGGCCCTTGTATTGAACCGCTGGACGCACAGGCCGAGAGCCCCTGGGAGGGCGGGGCCCTGGGCCCCCTGAGCACTGCTTGGTGGACGGTCCCAGGAAAGGCCCAGTGTGCCCTTCGCTTTCTGGAAGCTTCTCTCCGCAGAGATTCACCCCATGTCCCGAGCCCCCATTCCCTGCTGCCCAGGTCGCCCTCTCATCTCTGTCCCGGGCCCGCAGGAGAACGCGCAGGACTGTGGGGGCGCATCAGCCACCTCGGCATCCCTCCCGCTGCTGCTGCTGTCGCTGTGCGCCTGGGTGTGGCTGGCCCCGCTGCTGTCGTCGACGCCCAACCAGTGTCCCCTCGGCTTGGAGACAGTCTAAAGTCAGCAAAGTCATCAGCACCTCCTGCTGAATGGAACCGGAAACCACCTCCCAAAGGCCTCCCGGGGCGTCCGCTACCACCCAGCCCAAGTTTCCATCAGGTTGTCATCCTCCGCTCTCTTTAGGAAGCCAGCAAGGCTCAATGTGTGTGAGTTAAGCGCAAGACTAAAGAGCTTAACCCCAGTGATTCCCCAGACAGCCAGACGCGGCCAAGGAAAGGGTTGGCTTTTCCTAACAAGCCTGGGATGGTTACAGTGAAATCTAACCTGGACTTAAAAGTTACCAGAAAAGTGAACAAGATGAGGGGCTGCTGTGATAGCACAGCGGGTAGGGCCTTTGCCTTGCATGCGGTCGACCCGGGTTCATTCCCCGGCATCCCATGCAGTTCCCCAGGAAACTGCCAGGAGTAATTCCTGAGTAAATAGCCAAGAGTAACCCCTATGCATCGCTGGGTGTGACATGAACCGCCCCCCCCCAAAGCCAAAAAAAGTGAATAAATTATAGTAGAGACTCACTTTGCTAGCAAAAGTTCAGATTGTGTGTGTGTGTGTGTGGTGGGGGAGGGTTCTGGGAGGGGTGGGAAAGAGAAAGTGAATCGTAATAATAATTGGGAAGACTCAGAACCCAGACAAGCATTAATTCCTTTTACAGCAATGTGACTGTGCGCTCTCCACAAGCTACTTAAACTTGTAAAACTCATCTTGACTGTGACGATGGGTGTGGTGTTGGCATTGTGTACACAAGAAACTATCTTAACAGAATTGCAGGGGCTGGAGAGAGAGCACAGTGGGTAGGGCACTTGGTCTGCACATGGCCAACCTGGGTTGGATGCCCCCAGCATCCCATAGGGTCCCCTGAGCGCCACCAGAAATAACTCCTGAGGGGAGAGCCAGGAGTATTAAAAAGCATTTAATAAATAAAATCATAATCATTTAATAAGTAATCCTATTTGAGATGGTCTTGGTGCCAGGGGAAAAGCCATCCTTCACAGAGCTACGGGGTGGGCTCCCCTGAGGCTCAGCGAAAGCCGGACTTCCCAGTAGGTCTAGGTCCCATCATGGTTTTCCTGGCCACGGGCTCTCTCTCCCGGGTGGGAACTTTCTTGGAACATTCTCATTTGCAGTCCTCCTGGAAAGAGGTCTCTGCCTGAAACGCCATACAGAAGCACTTCCTCCAGAATCCCGAGGGGCCTGATGGGACCCCCGCTCCTTCAACCTGGCTCCTAGAAAGTTCTCACTGTCGCTGTCAGGGCAGTAACACTGAAGGGCAGTAGAGCACTGAAATCCAGGGGTGGCCTCGGCTCCTTCATTTAGTCAGCCTCCAAGGAGTCAGCCGAGGCCAGTGCGATGGCGGTAGGGGCCCTGGGCATTTTGTTTCACCAGCAGAGCACCTCTCTATACTTCACACACAGCGAAGAGCATCAGGGTATTCGAATGACCCCAATTATTGATTTCCCCCAAGTCCTGCATCGCCTCAGGGAGAACAAGGGGCTGACTCAAGCTCATTCACACAGTTTCAGTGGGAGAAGAATGCCGGGAATAGCTCCACGGGCCAGGTAAATAAAAGCTCATCAACGCATGGAAACCTTACAACCACCGGCTTAAGGAGCGACTTCTGTTGGCCTCCTACCGTCAGACCAGAAAACAAGCTTGATGTTGAAAACGGGCTCTAGGTAACTAAAAGAAGATTGTGAGGCCTAAGTGTTATTCATATCATGGGCTCCAAATGGCCTGGCATATGGAAGTCAGCGGTAATTCCATATTAACCGGGATTACTTTACCTTGTTCAATGGAGGGATGAAGAGATTAGGTGGCTAAGTCAAGGTCACCAGTGTCCACTGGGCAGAGGGTGAGAAGGCTGAAGAAGTCCCTCCTCTGCTCCTGGGCTCTGTCCCCGGCACGTCAAGAAGCCCTGAGTATGTCACGGGGAGCTTGCCAGGCTTTGCCGTACGGGCGAGATACTCTCGGTAGCTTGCCAGGCTCTCCGAGAGGGGTGGAGGAATCGAACTCAGGTCACCCTGGTCGGCCGAGCGCAAGGCAAACGCCCTACCCGCTGTGCTATCGCTCCAGCCCATGAACAGCTCATCTCTCCAATTCAAGGAAGAGCATTTCCAAACAAATTTAATCTCAGCCATAGAAAAATCAAGCCTAGGGCACATGCCATGCAGACTTACAGCCTCCCCAGCTGAATTCCCTTCCCCACCCGCCAGTGGCTTCTCCACCCTGGCCCCAAACACAGGCAAACTGACCCAATTAATCACAATGATGCAGATAGGGAAGGCCCCTCCCTCAAGCCAATGGCAAAGAGTTTCCTGGAAAACAATGCTATAGGCACCCCAGAAGTTGCAAAAAGCAACTTTGCAGGAAACAGGAACTAAAGCCTGCTAAGACTTTTACCTGGCCAGCAACAGACCCTGAGAAGGCTGGACCCCCATCCCGACAGAAGCTCCAGCAGAAACAAAAGGCCAGGAAAGGAATTTCAAAGAAGACCATCACCACTTGGCAGACCTCCCTAACAGCCGACTTGACCTAGGTAGAAGCCCAACGGGGCGGGGGGGGGGGGGGGGGGCAGGTTGGAAAACCCCTATAAAAGCCACTTTGGACAAAGGAAGGGCGCTTGTGCTGCCCGAGCCCATGTGCTGCTTGTGCCCGCGTGGCCGAGCACATGTGGCGCCCACATCTCCCCCCTTGAGATGTGGACTTTCCTGCCTAATGCGGGTATGTGTGTGGGGGCTCTCTCTGCCCTTGGAGAAGCCCACGGTCTCTCTTGAGCACGGTACTCTCTACTCTCCCACTTAAATAAAATAAAATCTGTTCCTACTTCACTGCTCGTCTCCTCCTGAAATTCTTTTCTGCAAGGCGAGACAAGAACCCAGTAACCCTGGGTCCCGGGTGGCAGAGGCGGAATGGGAGAAAGTGACGGTCTCTCTCCGATCCCCCTCACCTAAGCCACTTGTGGGGCCCACGGAGATCAACGGGGCCCCAAAAGAACTGCACCCTTGGACCTTCTTCCCAGCATTAAACCACGGAAGCACTGAACCCCTAGCACAACTGGCTGAGAAGCGCCAGGAGCCACCATCAGCCGCTGAGCACAACTTGGAGACCCACGTGTCCCAGGAAAAGGTCAAGTTAAGGAGATGCCGGCCGCTCCTGACCTCTATAGGCAGGCCAAGGCGGGGAGTACCCCGTCGGAAGAGGAAAAACATTTCTGTTCAACCTGCTGGACTTAAACCTTGAACGAAAAAATCAAAATGTTGCGAGCGTTTTGCCTTTGCAGGTGGGACTTACTCCTTGAGCATAACCACTAAAGGCCACCAGGTGGCAGCCCGGCTCCAGCGAAAGCGCCAGCACCTTGGTTTCAAGGGAGCCAAGTTCAATTCGCGGGACAGAAGCTTCTCCCCCGCTCCGCTGGTTTTAGGTTTGTGAGGCCAGGGATCAGACCAGGGCCAGCTCCATGCGAGGAAGCGCCTGACCCCTGGCCTCTTCCTTTGCCTAATGAATCAAAGACTGCGGTCAGGCCCAGTATCAAAAGTTCTAACCACCGAGCCACCCAGTGTTGTATTTTATCAGGAGGGCTCCCAGTGGCTCCAACCAGTTCAGAATGCTAAGTAAAGTCTGGGTTCGGGAAGGCAAGGAATCAGTCAAAAAGGAAAACTGGGAAAAGGGGAAAACTAGAGCAAGGATTCGGGGTCTGACAAACCACCACTGATTCACAAGCATCTCAGTGAACGATGCGCGATTTCATTCAGCTTTTTTATTCTAATTTTTAAAAAGTTTACTGAATCACCGTGAGATACAAAGTTGTTTATGATTGGGTTTCAGTCATAAAATGTTGTCACCTGTCCCTTCACCTCCCCTTCCCCTTCCTTTGGGCAGTATGATTTGCTGGAGTGTTTGTCTTGCACGCGGCCGACCCAGGATTGATTCCTCTGTCCTTCTCGGAGAGCCCGGCAAGCTACCAGGAGTATCCCACTCGCACTGCAGAGCCTGGAAAGATCCCCACGGCACATTCAATAAGCCAAACACTGTAACAACAAGTCTCTGGATGGAGATGTTACTGCTGCCCGCTCGAGCAAATCGATGAACAACGGGGGGACAGTGCTACAGTGCATGATTTGAAAGACACATTCACCTTCTTTTATCCGGTGATAAAATGGAGGCTAGGAAGTTAATTGCACTTGTCTCTGGCAAGTGGCAGAATGGGGTTCTGAAGGCAGTTTCCCAGGGAGCATGGTGCAGCAGGAATGAGGTGGGCAGGAAGGAGGCATCGGGTTCAAGAGCTGGGTCCCCTGCTCCCCTCAATTCCCACTTCATGCTCCAAGCCAACACAAACAGAAGTTCCAAGAACCAAACTCCCCATGTTTTCACCAAGTCAAATAGTTGAAGGCACAAAATATCTAACCAATAGTTCATGAAGAGGAGGTTTCCTTCCAAATTTGCTTACAGCTAAAGCCAAATATTCATTCATTCATTTATTTAGCTTTTTGGGTCACATCCGGCGATGCACAGGGGTTACTGTACCTGGCTCTGCACTCAGGAATTACTCCTGGCGGTGCTCAGGGGACCATATGGGATGCTGGGAGTTGAACCCAGATCAGTTGCGTACAAGGCAAACGCCCTCCCCACTCTGCTATCGCTCCAGCCCCCATGAAGCCAAATATTCTAGAGAGAAGATAGTACTGCAGGGATAAATTTGAAATAGTAGAGTCTTGGCATTCTGTGAAGTCAAAATTCAAATATCATTAGAGACCCCTTTATTCTACAGACAACACCTGTGAGGAAACATACACATCTCTTTCCTAGTCAAAAGACTAGGGAAAAACAGTCATGCTTTTTTTTCATCGGGAGTAAAGTATGATCTGTTGTCATATACATCAGATTATCCCTGGGGGAAATCATTTAAGTCATAACTATTTTGAAAAACGAGAACCGAGAAGATAACATTTACCCAAATACTGGAAATTCCCATGATTATTCCTGGCTCTGAGCCCAGGTGACCACGTAGGATGCTGGGGATCGAACCTGGGTCAACCTCATGCAAGACAAGTGTCCTAACAGCTGTACTTTCGCTCCAGCTCCACAGGCACAATTTAAAGTTCAGATGTCTTCATGTAGGTGGCTCTGGTCTGGATAATTGAACCATACCACGTCCTGCCCCAAACACCTTGGCCCCCGAGCCACCCCAAGCTCCCATCTACTCTCCATCTCGCCCTCAATTTCTTTCCTTCTCCGACCAAATCTGGGGCAAAGGTGATTTAGGTAAGGGAATTTTTTTTTTTCCTTTTTCTTTTTGGGTCACACCTGGCGATGCACAGGAGCTACTCCTGGCTCTGCACTCAGGAATTATTCCTGGCGGTGCTCAGGGGACCATATGGGATGCTGGGAATTGAACCCAGGTCGGCCGCATGCAAGGCAAACGCCTTCCCCGCTGTGCTATCGCTCCAGCCCCCTGGAATTCTTTCTTAAGCTAGATAAAAAAAGGGCTAACCGAAAAAACATTTAAGATAAATAAAACTTCAATCATAATTTTCATCTAGTACAGAAGTCAGACTTTGCCTTTTTTTTCCCTGGGTCACACCCGGCAATGCTCAGGGGTTACTCCTGGCTCTGCACTCAGGAATGACTCCTGGCAGTGCTCCAGAGACCATATGGAATGCTGGAAAACAACCTGGATCGGCTACGTGCAAGACAAATGACCGCTGTGTCATCGCTTCAGTCCCAGACTCTTTCTATGCTCGCTTCCTCACCTAGGAGATCAGTTAATGGGGGTAGGGTAGAGCTTTAATTATATTAGAGGCTAAACAAATCTTTTTGTATAAAATGTCAATGTTCCAGATATTATTTCTATAAACTTTTCATTTTTTAAATAAAAAGTAAAACCTTAAAGCTAGCTCCTCCATTCTCTCAATTTAGGGATTCAGACCCAGTTAATACTGAGAAAAAGTCAAATTAGGCTTAAGCATTTCTCTGATGGGCTGGAGCAATAGCACAGTGGGTGAGGCATTTGCCTTGCACACGGCCAACATGACCGACCCGGGTTCGATTCCTCCCCTCTCGGAGAGCCCGGCAAGCTACCAGGAGTATCTCACCCACACGGCAAAGCCTGGCAAGCTCCCCGTGACATATTCAATATGCCAAAAACAGTAACAAGTCTCACAATTTGTTGTCAGATGTTACTGGTGTCCGCGTGAGCAAACTGATTAAGAACAGGAGGACAGTGCATTTCTCTGATTCACGTCGACTGGAAGTGTTTGAAATGTCTCAAGTGTCTAAAATAAGGCTTTAAAATGAGATGCAGCTAGGTAAGTTGGAGGCAGTCCAAAATAAACACCCAAGTTCATATGCTATTTGGTTCTTTTATTAGAAGTTGAGAATACAGCAAGTAGAGAAATCCCATGGCAAATGAAACCATCACACAGATGCCTTTTTGGAACCCAACCTCCGCTGCTCCCCTGAAATGTGCTTTGTGGCTTCAGCGATTTAGAAAGGGGAGGGGGGAAATACTGAAAAAGGCCACTATTTAACGGTCAAAGAACGAAGCTGTAGAGGTCCTACCCAGCCAAGGGCCAAAGACGTAAATTAAAACTACAAAGAGCAAGCAAGCCTCTAGTTGCTGAGAGTAAGGCATTCAGGCGCCAACCTGGTGAGAGTTCTCAGCGAGCACTGTAGGACCAAGTGCACATCGAGGCTGTTGGTAGTAAGTCGCACACAGACACACACGCAGAGAAATGGGCACACACACACATACACACACTCACACACACACCCTAAAGAGGGAGATTTTACTGGATGACACGTTGTTGATGTTAATTTAGTTCGTGTTTTTCTAATGGTTGTGCTATGTTGAACCGGATTCAGCCCCGCCTTTGGGGTGTGGGGTCCTGGGCCCAGACTCTGCTCCTTCTATCGGTGGCGTTACAGGGTTGCATCTTAGACCCTGTATCCCAAAGTGCAAGACCAAAGAGCAAGTCTGGCTTCTGGTATGTGCTGCGGCTTCCATGCAACTAAGAGCACTTCCCTTCAGATGGCCACTGCTCTCCCCTCGGGAGTCAACACTGCTCTTGATTCTGTCAGGCACTGCACCAGTTCACCCAGAGTCTTTTTGCTGGGTCCACCTAGCACCCCGGGCAGTGACCTTATCCAGAACTGAAATACTCTTTCCCAAGTTCTACACTGGACTCCTCCCTGGTTCCCTGGCTTCTGCGGGAGACCAGAAGGAGCGCAAGGAGAAAAATAACAGAGAAAACTCTAGACCGGCAGAAGAAAAGACCATTCCTACACTCCCAATCGCCCACTGAAGGATGCCAGTCCCCAGGATCGAACTTAGTGATCTGATGTCTTGGGCGATAGGAAGGAACCCAAGACTCAAGTGCTACTTTGGTGGTTCCCCTATGATGAAGGATCAGAATTCCGAGCCAAGCCCCTCCTGCTACCGCTATAAAGGGACATGAGCAATCCTGCTGTAATTCTAACAGCTCTTCAGAGACTTAACTTTAAGGACACCACCACGTTTCGCAGCAATCACCTGCACGTTTCCCTTTTAAACTTCCTTCACCAAGGTATCCCGGCGGGTGGGGAAAAGGAACTTTAGGAAGTCACGGTGGGGGAGGATCCTACTTGACAAGAGTTCTCGGTCGGCTTTCCTGTTCGACCAGGTGCCAGAGATGAAATCTCTCTTTCCTACTCCAGGAGAAGTGCTCTCCAGCAAACATGGACGAGCTCAGGGGGCATGTGAACAGGTTAGAAGCTCTTTAGCAACTGGTTGCACGCCAGGCACTATCTTGCCAAGGACACATCCCTGTGCATTCCTAGGAGGAAGAGGTGTCGTCTGGGCAGTGATTTTCAACAGAGGGAAATTTCCAGAGATTTCCAGAGTTCCACAGCAGGATACAGAAAACTCGCATCTTCCAATCGGCTGAGATACCCCCCGAAATGCCACAGACGGAATCAGCTCTGCAGGAAAGAAACAGACCAGCACCTGTGCTAACGTGTCCGAGTTTCTCCACCCCACTGTCTCCAACACCCCTTCGGTGGCAGAAACTGACTCCCCAGGAAGGGTCGGCAACAGGCACAGAACACGAAGCGTTCTCTCCAGTGACGCCTCCCCCAGAGCCTTGATCTGAAACAGCCTGCCAGCCACTCGCACGCTGCTTCCGCCGAGAAACACACCGCTTCCCTCGATCTCGGGCCCGCTGCGCGCTCTGCCCCGCTGGAGTCCAAAGGGTGCCCGCCTTCAGAAGGCACCTGGGCGCACCAAGGCATTAGACATCCCGGGGCCACCACCTGATCTCCCTACAGTCACTTTGTGCAAAATTTAAACAGTGTGTGGTACTTGCATGTTTTGTCCTATACAAAAATTCCCCCTCCCTCCCCTGCCCCTAGGTTTTAAACATTTATATAAATTTCTCATTTAAACAGTAAATTAGAAATCTTATTTACATTAATTTCGTTGTTCTTTCAAAAGAACATCTAAAATCATACTCCCACCCCTTAATAGGATATAAATGTTCACCTAAATTGGTTGTATTATTGTTTTAAGGAGAAGAACCACCATCTGAACTGTTGCCCCATCTTCTACAAATAAATAAGATATGGATCAGAAGCCAGTTTGCAAAGGGTCTTGCCGAGCCCTCAAGTGGTAGATCTCAGAACGACGTCAGGGTGTGGGCCAGGGGCCATTCCTCCTTTCCTCCAAATTGATGCACTCCATCCTTTGAGGTATGATTTATTTGTGTTTTTCTCTTCTCAGCCGTGATCACGTGGAGTCCCTAGGGCGGCACAGAGCCCGCGAGGCTGTCGCGTGGGGGGCTCCTCTAGCACGGGCACCAAGCTCCAGTACGGGGGCCTGCGGCACGCAGGCCTGCGTCAGGGGCCACATCCCTGGCTGCTGGCTGCGATCACAGTGCGTCCTCTTCGCTGCAGCCTCCGCCGATCATGAAACGGAATTCTTGGAGGTTGGAGACACCGTGGAAGTGCACGAAAGCGCCGGCGACCACGAAGATGTGAAACAGCTGATGGGAGTGAAACTGGAGACATGGAAGGAGAAAAAAGAAACCGGTTTGGACAGAGAAAAGAAGCCCATGCATTATTGAAAGGCTGCTAGCTACAGTCTTGGAATCATTTAGGCCGAGTAGCGGGCCACAACAGAGCTCAAATTCGAGGTGCCCACTGATCCTGGAGTATCGGTAGACGGATCAGATTCTGCTGAGAGGGAGCCAGCTGTTCTCAAAGAAATCAAGGTGCTGCTACTAAGCTCTAGATATAAAATCAGCCGAGGGGCAGATTACACACCCTCCTGCTGACAGCAGAGCCCTGCAGGACCCTGAGGCTCAGCAGCAGGGTTAGGGAGACACAGCGATGTCTTCCACGACGCTCGGGGACATTTCTGTCCCGCACTCAACAACAGAGCAATGTTGTGCTCTGGACAATCTAAGGGGATTTCCAGGGCTAGGTAGAACCGAGAAACATGTGAACTGTTAGTTTTCTTTAGTTCTGAGATTCTAGAATTCAGTAGATACCATGCTATGTCAAAAAACCAACCACACAGAACCTAAGCGTCCTTTCAAGTCACAAGTGGATCCAACAGAGGGGCCGGGGAAATAGTGCGGCGGGTATAGCAGCAGACACGGCCAGGCTGGACCCCGGAACCACGGATGGCCCCTGAGCCCCGCCGGCAGCGATCTCCGAGCACAGGAGCCAGGAGGAAGCTGCGATGGGCACAGCCCTGCTCCCCCGCCCCTACCCCAAATACCAGGACTGAGCACTGCTAGGAGTGATCTCTGAGCCCAGAGCCAAGAAGACCTGAGCACCTCTTGGTGTGCCCCGCCCCCCTGAGCAAACAAAAAACTATGGAGGATTATTCCTGACTGAACATGCTCTGTTACTACTAATTTCTCTATCTTAAGAAACGCTCAGTGCAACCAACGGCACTTGCAAGATCAGTCTTCTCTCATTAGAGCTCCGAAACAAGGATGGACAGGGGCACAGCAGCATGGACCAAGGGACTGTGATCTTAAAAGAATAAGCTAGAAGGATTCAAAGTCCTAACTTGAGACATTTCCTCTGAAACCAAAAGTGATCCTTTCCCCTAAAAAAGGGGGTCGGGGGCAGGGGAAATATTTTTTCATGTCAAAATCACGGTGCAATCTCATCTTAGCTAATCTGAAAATCAAAAGACGGCCGCAATTAGCATTAGATTCATTTTTTTGTTTTTGGGTCACTCCAGACGATGCTCTCCACTAGGTGATCAAGGGGCCATTTTGGGTGTCAGTGTTCAAATCGAGGTCAGCTGTGCTCAATGCAAGTGCCACGCCCACTGTGGACCTTGCGAGCCCCAGCCCCAGCATTCGCCTCATTTTCAGACATCTGAACTGAACTTGAAGGAGACTAGTTTTAACTTCCCATCTATTGGTATGTCACTTTTCTTTCCTTCTCCCTTATCATAATCTCATTAGCACTATGACCCTTTCTAATCGAATACTTTACAACGATCACAAATCGCTGACCTTAGGACTCTGGCGAATATGTAGCCCACTGGCCTCATTTCATAAATGAGTCAAGACAAAACAAATGACTAAATACATTTGACAAGATGGTTTAGAAAGCAGGAACTCAAGATTCTCATGTTACACTACTCTGGTTTAAATTCCTCTTAAAGGTCATGGACCCTGCACAAGTATCTCCTTAAAGCTTGCTTCCTTAAGTATGAAGAGTGAGAGCATTGATGATTATTATAAATTACAGCATCAATGTGCCGGGTGTGGTAACACAAGTAACTCAGCATGGCGGCCGGCAGGCACTAAGACCTCAATAGATGTTAGTTATTTTCAGAAATTATTTTCCAGAAAAGCACAACTAATGAGAGAAAGTTTCGACTATAAGTCTCTTGATTTTAAGTCTAAAACTTTTTCTGGAGTGAGAAGACAGGCCAGTGGTAGAGTCCTAAATTTAATCCCTGGCACTAAAATAGCCCCTAAGCAACACTGAGCTTGACTCCTATAAAATAAAAAAGAAACTGTTTTGATTATTTCACTTCCCAGTTTGTCAATAACCCCCTCACCGCTACGTCTGCAGATACGCGTCCACGTGTCCCCTCCCCCAGTAACACTTACCCAGATGTCACACTTGCCGGGAAAGAAGCGTTCCGGGATGCGGGCAGCGTACAGGGCAGCTCCTGTGATATAGAGGCTGGCCATCAACATCAACCACCCGATCTGTCCTATGGTGGCAGCCTTCAGGAATCCCTCCGAGATGACATAGTGGAAGGTAGGGATGATTCCGCTCAGGCCCAGACCCAAAAACACTCCTTGAAATAAAGAGAGATGAGTAAGGCAAAGGCGCAGAAGAACATGCAGGAGTCAGTATCGCAGCATCGAGCCAGCAACGACAACAAGACTTTCTGATAGTAACTTCTGTCTGAAAAGAAAAATCAGATTTTTCAAGATCTGGGATACTGCTACGAGACTGGACAGCTATGTTCTGAAAGACACCCGACCACAAAGGCAACGAGTCTCATGCTCAGAGCGGCTTGGCTTAACAAGTCAGCAGTCCTCAAAGGTTCAGAACTATTTTGCTGAGTGTTCTAGGAGTGACAGCTCTTGGAGTTTCTTTAAAAGCTCCCTAAAGCAGCCCAAAAACCGCTTCTTTATAAACGCGGATTATTTTGTAATACAAAGTGATTTCTTACTCTAAAGCAAAAGACATTCCTGGCTTAGGGTGGGGGCAGGGAAGAGAGGGTGGGGTGAGAAGAGAGGGAAGGGAGGAGAGAGGGAAAAGGGAGACAATGGGAAGGGGAGGGCCTTGGGGGAGGGCAGAAAAGAAGAAAGAGATGGCCTCTGTCTGTAAGGGACCAGAGAGACCCACAGAATCACAAAAATGTGTAAGTCTACACCTGTACCTCATGTTGTTTCACTAAGAAAAATTAAGAAAAAAAAAAAGAATCACTCCACCTCAGCCCTGCTTGTGAGAAGTCTCACTCCTGGAACTGTGTGGGTGACCACATGCAGTGTTGGGGAACGAATGGGGGTCAGCTGCATGCAAGACAAAGAGTACCAGCCCCAATTACATGTTTACTGATAAAGAAAATGGGCATCCGTAAATGAAAAGTGGCAATGCTGACCTGACAGAAGGAACCCAGCAGGCCTGAATAAAACTTACTTCCTAACTCTACTCCTCCTAAAACTGTGATCCCGTTCTTTCACCTGTTCTTTCCCTTACATCGATGCTTCTCAAATTGAGTGACATGACCCTCAAGGTGGCACTGATCTATTGGTGGAGAGGAGCGGGGGGCCTGTCACAAGGACAGTAATAGCCTGGGGTGCGACTGGCCCCATTTATTCACTGTAAGAAGAAAGACTGGGCCCGAGGGATGGGGAGCTGAGAAATGTGACTGAGGAGGTGCTGGGTAGGCCAATTAAGTTTGGAAATCTCTATTTGACATACGGAGACTGGATAAAATCTTCCCGTCTTTCAGAGACATTTAGAAGTGAGTTAGTTAAAAGCCTCAGAAGACCTCTCCTAGGATAAATATCCTACTCATCCTATGAAACAACTTCAAGGATTCTGTTTATAACAGACTTTAAAAATACAATTGTTTAACTGAAACCATGGAACAGTCATACTGATCAGTACTGAATAATACAGACTTTTATTAAAGCTTTAACTAAGCAAAAAAAAAAAAGACCCTTCTAGTCTTTGACATTCTCTCATCAAAAGCTCAGAATCTTGATTCTTCTGATGTACATAAATAGAATGTTTAGTTCTACTCAGCAAGATATTCTCAGACATTCTTATATGCTCAAGCAGGCTTAACAATATTGTGGAATACTGGTAAAAGCCAATCCTGACATACCCATTTGCTCACAAACACTCAAAAGGGGAAAGAGGGTAGGTTCTAACAGTGGTGATTAACACAATGTTAACACTCACTTCTAACCTGCAGGATAACAGCAAATGAACAAGAGCTCAAAAATGTAAAAAAAAAAATTACAGTTAATACTTCTTTTTTCCCTCTTGGTAGGCCTTGGGTATGGTACTGGGGCAGCTATAAGAAATCCCTAAAGAAATGGCAAAACAAGACCACCTATCTGCTAACTCCTTATTCAAAACAGGAAGACTCACAAAAGCAGGCAGGGCATCTGGCTTGAGCCAGAGCAACAGTACAGTGGGAAGGGTGCTTGCTGTGCACAGGGTCAACTCCGGTCCGATCCCCAGCATCCCACATGGTCCCCCCAAGCACTGAATGCAGAAACAGGAAGAACTCCTGAGCACTGCCAGGTGTGGTCGGCAGGGTGGGAGGAGAGGTGGGCACATTTGATTTCACGCTTTCAGGCTAAACTGGCAGTGTCCTACATTTAAAAAAGTTTCTGTGTGCCCACAGCAGAAGAGATGTATGGTACTACTTAAGTAGAATACAAGCAGTATGAATGAAATCTACTAACTTAAGCATTTTTAAACAAAAATAGAGAATAAACCAAAACTATTAAAATAAGGGGCTGGAGCGATAGCACAGCGGTAGGGCGTTTGCCTTGCACGCAGCCAACATGGCCGACCCGAGTTCGATTCCTCCGCCCCTCCCGGAGAGCCCGGCAAGCTACCGAGAGTATCTCACCCACAAGGCAGAGCCTGGCAAGCCCCCCGTGACATATTCGATATGCCAGACACAGTAACAACAAAGTCTCAAATGGAGACGTTACTGGGCCCGCTCGAGCAAATCGATGATCAACGGGAGGGCCTTTACTTTACTTACTTTACTTATTAAAATAAAGGACCAATCACCACAAAAAGCGCACTCCAAGATGAGAAAGAACACAACTTCATAATGATTAGGATTACCTTCCTTAAGGACAGTGTCACTGACACTGTCCTCCCGTTGTTCATCGATTTGCTCGAGCGGGCCCAGTAACGTCTCCATTGGAGACTTTGTTGTTACTGTGTCTGGCATATCGAATATGTCACGGGGAGCTTGCCAGGCTTTGCCGCGCAGGCAAGATCCTCTCGGTAGCTTGCCGGGCTCTCTGAGAGGGGCGGAGGAATCAAACCCAACTCGGCCAGGTTGGCCCTGTGCAAGGCAAACCTGCTGTGCTATCGCTCCAGCCAGGACAGTGTAACGCTAAAAACTCAAGTTCTAGACAACAGCCCCAAATGTGCCCCAAATATCTAAGAGTTCATCTCTGATCGTGCTGCGCTGCTGGCTTTCAGATGCAGGAAGCCCTGAGCCACGGAGGCAATGGCTGGACCTCCAGGCAGCAGGAGAGAAGGGAAGCCCTGTGAGAACACGGACTTTAGTCCAGGGAAATTCGCTCTCGATCTTGGACCTCCAGAATTGGAGAAAAGTAAGTATGTGTTAAGTCATGGGGGTTGTGGCAATTTGCTATGTAAGCCATAGAAAACGAATATAGTACATTTTTATTTTATTTTAGAATCATGTGTGTTTTGCTTTTTTTGAAGGGGCAAGGATCACAGCTGTCAGTGTTCAGGGCTTCCTCCTGACGGTGCTCCAAGATCACAGGGGTTGCATGGGAGCCCACACGCAGCGGCCAGCATGCGTGAGACAAGCACCCTAACTCCGGTCCTGTTCCTCCAGTCCCTACAGTACATCTGTAATAAACAGAGGTGGTGGCGGCGGCTTGAGTTCTTTGGGGGGAAAAAACAAAAGAACCAAAAAACCAGTAATGCACCCTGCACTACTCCATTCGAAGTCCATCGAGAACATAAGGCTGTAACTGAATTCTCATTACAAGTATGGGAGTATAATGCTTTAGCAAGTGGTAAACCTTCAAGAAATGACTAGTAAATAAATGAATGTCTAATGCAAAAATGCCACAAGTTCTTACCTGCTCGTACTCCTCGATACTGAGGGGTGGCAAACATGTCCCACTGGGAGACGATAATGGCTGCGATGCCCAGCACACAAATGACAATCAAGTAGATGAAGCAAGGTTGTGGGTTACAGTAGAAAGAATAATAAAGCCAAGGAACAAAACTTCCCATGATCAGAAGAGCAATCCCGGAGTAATCCAGTCTAGGAGAAGGGGAAATAAATCCATTCAATTAAAAAAGAACAGCACCCACCACAGATCCCAACTACTTCTCCAATATGTGCCACAATGAATAGCTGTGAGGCAAGCTAAGATGCTTGCTTTGATTCTGAAGAACAAGGTCCCGGAGGCGGAGGCGGCATCCAGAATCTTGTCAGCTCTGCTGGATGCTTTGCCCGAAGCCGCAAACTCCAAATCACCGGGCTCAGTGGAAATCAGATGGCGAGAAATGTAAGGCAAGGGGAATATGATGAGAAACTACGTAGCACACAAAGTGGTGTTGTTTCGCCAATGTTTAATTCCAGGACGTTTCACACACCCCAACAAATACCTTTACCCTAGATCCTGGATTTCTTCAGCGGCGAGTTATAACCCTGTATGTGGTCTCAAACATTTAACTGAATGTGTGGTCAAGGAAAATCTTAAAATTTTGTTTTAAATTACAGCTGTTACTTATCCCATGAGCAAATGCTTGATCTGTATACCTACATTTGATATGCTATATACCAAGGGGCACATGAGACTAGTGAGATGGGGTTGAACGTGGAAAAAATTGAAAAAGGTCTACTCTAAACAACCAATATATGCTTTAAGAATACTTACTTAGAGAAGAGCCGGGAAACCCCTTCTGAATGGCAGTAGACTGTGTGGAAGAGCCATGAAAAAGAAAGGCAGAGAATGGCCCCCAAGAAGAATAAGCCAAAGACCACCTTCTCTTGCAGAGGGGCTACAAAGGAGATGTTTGGGCGAAACATATAAAAGATTCCCAGGCACAGGAAGAATACACAACCTAGGAAAAGGACACAGGGGGAGAAAAAAAAAAAAAAGATTACCCTTTCGAAGAGAAAATGTCTTCAACTGTTTCAGTCCTGGACCTTTGGGTCTGGCTTTTTCCACTTAGTAAGTTTGCAAGGTTCACGCATGTCGTAGCATTTATCAGTACTTCCATCCCACCCCTATCACCCCCCCATTTTGTTTTTGTTTTGGGGCCCCACCCCACAATGCTCAGGAGACCACACAGGATGTCAAGGATCAGTCAGTCATGTGCTGTGTGCCTATGCCAAGAGACCCCAAACTCAGAAGACATCTGCACTCCAGTGTCCACTGCCAAGCTGTTCACAAAGTCTGGAAGCAACCCAAGTGTCCAAGAACAGTACACTGCATGAAGAAGCTATGGTTTCGTGCATGCATGTGTGCATGCATGCGTGTATGCGTGTATGTTTGTGTATGTGAGACAAACAGTCAAATGCAAAAGAATCTGAGATGTGATCTACATAACTTAGCCTAACCATGGTGGGGAGTAGTGGAGGGTGTTTGGAATGTTGTAAGCATAAAACCCTACCACTGACAGTATTATAAATCATGGTGACTTTAAAAAAAAAAAAAAGAAGAAAGAAGTTAAAAAATGTATCTCCTCTGGGTCTTGCTCTTCAAGCCCATGTTAGTCCTTTGAACAGTTATCTCACTTCCCGTTTCTCTGCTTGCCTGTTTTGGTGCGAGAAGCCTGCGTTCTCTCTTGAACACACACACTGACCCCATTCTCTACCCTCACATCTTTCTAAATAAGTTTCAATAAAAGCTTGTTGAATTTTACTTCAGGGGGGGAGAGGAAGGGGGCGCACTTCTCTGGAGAATTATCGATTCAAATGTTTTACCTTTTTTAATTAATGCATTGTGGGAGGGTTTTTGCCCTTTTTAAATGCCTAAATAGACACTTGACTTGCAAGTATTTTCTTCCATTCTCTGGGTTACCTTTACAGTTTCACTTTCCTGGTACATTCTTTTTTTTTGGGGGGGGGGGGGGGGGGGGGGGTTACACCTGGCAATGCACAGGGATTGCTCCTGGCTCTGCACTCAGGAATCACCCCTGGCAGTGCTCAGGGGACCATACGGGATTCCGGAAATCGAACCTGGGATCATCGCATGCAAGGCAAACGCCCTACCCGCTGTGCTATCTCTCCAGCCCCTCACATACCTTTTTAAGGTTCAGTCTTTACTACTCAACACACAAAATAAAAATGAATTTATTACATTGTTGATATCCCATACCTAAGAGATGTGTCCAGATGTTTCCTGTCTCTGTGTGTATTCTGAAAATGCTCTTAAAACAGGCCCGGAAGGAAGGCATAGGGGGCCGGTGTCCATGTAGAAGGAAGTCGTTATCTTTGAGCCAGTCCGGTAGTACATCATGAGGGATCACTCGCCACCGACCTTCCCAAACCTGGAAGAAGAACATCGTTAAGTACTACTTGTCAATGCAGCAATGCTATTTCTGACAACTCTCCTGCCACACCACCTGAAAAATGAGGAAAATGCTGATTCTTAGGAAGACTACGGAAACATCTGAAAAATACAATGTCCTAGTCTTTTTAAAAAACAGATTTATCAAGAAGATACTTTAAGCAGAGAACAACTCTTCGGAAAGAAATGAATTTGCAAACCAAGCCCTACCAAGAATGGCTCCAAACTTTGACTCAGCCTGGCTAAAAGTGCCCCACACACAGACTCCCTTACTTCACTCGCCACAAATAAAGTTTACTCTGAAAATTCCAAGAATGCTAAATCTGACCATTTGAATATATAATCTAGTGGCAGAAAAAGACCCATAAAGACTCACGCTCTTGTGTCTTTTGCTAAAATTTTCCCACCCCCTTTACTCTCTTCTAACACAGCAGTTTAGACTTTGAAAGGGATAGATTGTATAACTGAAACCCAAGCACAAAAATGTGTACGTCTACAACTGTACCTCATGGTGTTTCACTGATAAAAATTTTTTGAAAAGTAAAAATAAAAAATAAAAGGGATAGGTTGTTTTTTTTTCGCTTTTAGGGAGTGAAAAATACCTGTCATTAAATAACCTTAGTGCAAGCTCTAATTAAGAATCTCCAAGCCTCGTAAGTGAGTTTAAAGTGCTTCAGTTACCTCATGAGAAAGCTGTGGAGATCAAACTAGCACTTCATAAACTCTAACATCCACTCAAAGGTAGCGTGTGGCGCGCAAACTTGACCACAGGCCATCACCTGAGAGATGGAAACTAACTCGCTTCTCAGGCAGGGCAAATGGGGAAGAATCTCACCCTTGACTGGACTGCTAGTCTCTTCACCCTCCTTTTCTCCCTTTGCTTCACTGCCCCTCAGGTAACAAATTCCCAAGAAAAAGGAATCGGGAGATGAACGACCCCTTCTGAAAATGTGTGTAAACCTCTAAGCTCACGCTCTGCTGGGTCTGGAGACAGTCCAGGTGCCACGGTGCTTGGCCTGCACAGAAATGTTTGAGCAGCACTCCACATGGTTCCCGAGCCCCACCAGGACTAAGACTTTAGCTTCAAAAGGGTTTTACCCAAAATGGGGTGTGGGTGTGGGGGAGAAGGAGCGAGGCCCACGACTCACACTACAAAGATCACTTGTCCTTTACTGACTTGTTTCTGCTGGAAAAATATAGGGAAAACATCAGACATGTTGATGTAGGCAGGTAGATAGGGAAAGGCCCTTTGCAATGAAACAAAGTTTCATGGAAGAATTCTAGGAATGACCCACCTTGAGGATACAGAAAGACCGGATAAGACCTGAGGATATAGGCCTCCTTCCCGGGAAGTTCCTCTTTTTGGACCTCCCTGGTAACCTCCTAAGCAATGGACTTTAACCCAGGAAGAAGCTTCATGTGGGGGCAGGCTGGAGAAACCCTACAAAGGCCACCCTGAACAAAGGAAGGGCGCACATATGCTGCCTGAGCCCGTGTGCTGCTTGGCCGAGCACCTGTGTCGCCCGCATCTCCCCTCTTGAGATGTGGACTTTCATGCTTTCATGTCTAATGCTAGGATGTGTGCAGGGGCTCTCTCTGCCCTTTTAGAAGCCTGTGTTCCCTCTTGAGTAAGTTACTCTCTCTCTCTCACTCTCTCTCCCTCCATACCTAAAAATCCTCCAAATAAAATCTGTTTGTTTCACTGCTTGTCTACTCCTGAAATTCCTTTCTGCGAGGCGAGACAAGGACCCAGTAACCCTGGGTCCCGGGAGGCAGAGGCGGGTGGGGAGAAAGTGACCGTCTTTCTCCTCCCCACTTCATATAAGTCACCCGTGGGGCCCACCGACGTCAATGTGATCTGCCTACGTGCTTCAGCCTTTAGACAACGACCTTGCCTTTACCCAGAGTTCTCATGATAAGCATCACGGCTAAGTCGCAACCGTTTGGCTGACAATCCTATGCAGGAGGATGGCGACCTACTGCCGGCTCCTGTGGCCCCTCTCCCTCACTCCACATGTTCCAGTTCTCTGCGCTCCTGGGTACTTCGGACATTTCCAAGAGAACTGGCCCTCTGTGCAAAGCCAAAGGAAACGAGGACTAACAACTTAAGAACAGAAGTAGTGGGAAGGACAGTGAAATAGTACATATTAGAAGCACATAACACATAAACACGTCAGAATGCTTCCCCACAACTGTTTCTGAACAAACATTCTAGTGGTATAAAAACTGAGCCAAGAAGCTTTCTTTCATGATTACACTGCAAGGGATAAGCATGTGGCTCAGTGATAAGAATTCATTTTGCTTATATGAAGCTGTGGGTTCCATCCCCAGTAGCACGGAATATTCTGTGATGTGTATCGTATTAAACAACCACTGCACTGCACCATCAACTTGGAGTCAGGCCAAATGCCAGCACAAACATGTATATCTTTTGCCCATTTGGGATAAAAAGAAGTAGTTTAGCCAAAGACATTTGTTAAAAAGCTTAAGAGAAATATTACCTAAATCAAACATCTTAGTAATGACCCACTATGTTGTCATATGTAAAATTTAAAGCTTTGAAAAGAAAACAAAACTGAAGGCTGAAAAAAGAGAGACCCAACCCAGATCAAGCCTAGAAGAACATTCTATACAAACTGATTCTATTTCCCTTATTCCAGTTAAGAAAATCTTCCCAGTATGCAAAGGACACCTGCAAGACCACAGCACACTTCAATTTTTATTTGTCTAAGCACCCCCAGCTGTGCTCAGGACCTACTACTGGCTCTGTATTCAGGGATCACTCCTGGTGAGATCAAGGGGGCCACAGGTGATGCTCGGCTGGCAAGTGCCTTATGGACTGTCCTATCTTTCTGGTCCAACACACTTCATTTTAAACTGTCTCTGTTTACTTGCTTCAAACGCAAGAAATAGAATCCTGGTGTCACTAGACAAGGCTGGTTTCAAGCCAGCCTTTCAGTCTCAGCAGGGTGGAGCATCCTGAAGAACACCTTGTAACAGAACACCGGTTCATTCCTTCCACAGAGGAAAGATAAGGAAATGATAATTACAGCAAACAAATGCTCTGCTTATTCTCCCATTAGCTGTTAAATTGGAACTCTATTTTATTATTTACCTTAATTCAATCAAGGGGAACAAAAGAGAAGTCAAGTCAGCTTGACTTCTACAGTAACTAGCTGACTTATAAATATTTAAAAAGCCCTCAAGGCTCAGACTCTAAATATTCAACTTTGAAGGCTTTTGCACAAAATCTGTTTTTAGAAATACAATCTCTATGTTTTTGTGATCTCTATGCCAACTCTCCTCACAGGGATCACTAGAACATTTCTATGGTTTCACTGTTTTTTTTTTCTTTCAATTTTTAAACACTAAATTTCTTGGGCTCGAAGTACACTTACACCTCTCCATCCCTCATCTAACGCTTTATGTTGGATGGGATGTTTATGTTGAGATTAAAAACACTTCTCACCTGTTGGCCCAAAGTCAATTGATTCCAAATACCTCACATCACATGACTGGAGGAAAAGCAAAATTTAGTTTTCAGAGTTTGATGCATAAACAGTTTTATAAAATACATGAAAAGGAGGGGTCATGATTCTTTTTCTAAGTAATCAAGTATTCTCCAAATTATTTAACAGACGAATTTATATGTATATATACACACAGAGTGAGTTACACTGACTTTCATGACCCGCCAGGGCTCCCATGGATCAGATCAACCAAATGGTTCTTCTATTTACTAATGCTCCTATTTGCTCTAAGCAAACCGCCACAATTTCATTTGCCATATTAGAAGAAAGAAAACATAACAGGTTTTAATGAGTCAAATAATGAATTACAAGGAAAAAATCGAAAACAAAATATTCCAGCTAGTGAAATTCTATGTGCACAGAACTGGGAGGTTTCTCCCTACAGAGCAGCCTGCGGGGGAGAACAATGACATAGGTTGAGTGCGTCCAGCTGCACACCCCCCCCACGCAGAGCCCTAAGTAGCACCTGGCCCCAAAGACAAATCCCAACCCACCAGGAAAGAGTAGCAGACTTACACACACAACCCTAGAAGGGATCAGAACACGGCATTTAGCATCAACAACTCCCAACTGTTAGATTCTATCTTGTCTAGACAATTGGGAAGATGCATACTTCATTAGCCTATATAAAAATGGTTCCCAGTTGAATATTCCTTTACCAACATTTTACTGGGTCTGCTGAGGCAAAATGATGGGTTTAAAGTATCGATGCACCTGGGGGTATGGTGTCGCCAGCAGGTCAATCTGTACCTGTGAGGCGAGTGCATCAGCAGTCTGACGGCGCCTTCAGACTTCCTGATACCCCAAAATTGCTGCTGTGCCTTTGGCCAGACCCCAAAAACTTGGGATAAAGTTTACCAAGAAAGTAAACGGCCAAAAGTTAGGTATGTGGGAAACACACCCACAAACCACCTCCGGCTCAGCTATATAATTGGAGGCATGGCCTCTCTGGTTCCTGATCGAACTGCTTAATGGCCATGATCCCAGAGACACAGAAACAAATCTTGAAATCCAGCGGCTTTTGGCAGAAATGTGTCTGGTCCCTGCAGTAGGTTACTGTCGCCGGGCCACCCCAGGGGGGAAAGGGTGTTGTCCCTCTGCCTGCTCCCCTTTGGCAGCTCAATGGCCGTCATCCTCCAGAGGCCATTGGACAGTCAGGTCTGAGCCCGCAGTGACGAGACATTCTGGGCCTCACAGGATGCGGGTGGAGCTGGTCCTGTCCTCCCTGTCCCAATAAGACCCCAAGTCATTGCCCACAAATGGCCTCTCTGGCGCCTGATCAAGCTGCTCAACAGCCATGATCCCAGAGACTCAGGAGCAAATCTCAAAACGCAGTGGCATTTGGCAGAAATCCCTCCAGATTTGTGTTAAAATTTCGGAATTTCAAAATCACATGGCCCTACTGCAGCCACGTGACATCATATGTTATTCATAACCAGCAATAGAACAGAAATTGTCTACTGTTGCCTTTTCAGCAAATCTGAGTGTTGGGGTAAAATCTCAAATAATAATGGTGGGTCTGGTGTCAAAATATTGAATGTGATCAAAGTAGAGAGAGTAATGTGGAAATCATCTGCCCCAAAGGAAGGGGCGGGGTGTGGGATGGGGGTATACTGGGGTTTTCGGTGGTGGAGAATGGGCACTGGTGAAGGTATGGGTGTTTCATTGTATGACCAAGACTTAGACCTGAAAGCTTTGTAACTGCCCTCATGGTGATTCAATAAATAAAATTATAAAAAATGAAAAAAAAAAGTAAGGTGGAGTTCATGCACAATTCAATCAGCTAATCAGTGGCTGAATAAACAGCAGCACTCCTACATAAATAAATAATCGATGCACCACTGCAAAAATGTGGGTTTTTTGGGGTTGTTTGTTTTTGCATTTTGGGTCACACCTGGTGATTCACAGGGGTTATTCCTGGCTCTGCACTCAGTAATCACCCCTGGCGGTGCTCAGGGCACCATATGGGATGCTGGGAATCAAACCCAGGCCTGCCGTGTGCAAGGCAAACACCCTACCCGCTGCGCTATCGCTCCAGCCCCCAAAAATTGAATGGGAATAAAAATAAACTGCCATCTTACCTTACAAACAAACTCTTCCATTCTTTCCATAGCATGATGGGCTTGTAGGAGAGGGGACATGCCCATAAATCCCTCATCTTCCTGTGAAGCTTCCTCATGGCTCTCACGTTCCTCAGAGCTCTGCAAGGCAATCAGAGAAGAGTCAGGGACAGAGGCCAGGAACCAAAAGAAACAATCCAAACTTCCTTTCAAAATACAACTCTCTTAAAAGCAAAAGAAGACCTCAGACATGGTATACTTTAGCAAAATAACTGTACTACCAAATTAAGAGTGTTGATAAAGGTAAAGGTAAAGGTAAAGGTAAAGGCCCTCCCGTTGATCGTCGATTTGCTCGAGCGGGCCCAGTAACGTCTCCATTGGAGACTGTTGTTACTGTGTCTGGCATATCGAATACTCTCGGTAGCTTGCCGGGCTCTCCGAGAGGGGCGGAGGAATCGAACTCGGGTCGGCCATGTTGGCCACTTGTAAGGCGAACGCCCTACCGCTGTGCTATTCAGGTAAGAAACTATCCCCGCTACATCTGACTAAGCAGCAAATTCCTAGAATAGCTTATAGCTTTGATTTTTGTGTTAAAGAAATAAGTAACAGATACAGAATGATCTCTGTCATATGTGGTATATAAGAAAACATAGCCGAGGGGCAGAGTGATAGTATATCTGGAGGGGTGCTTGCCTCGCAAGTGGCTGACTTGGGTGCAATCCCAACATCCCATATGGTTTCCTGAGCCCCACCCTGAGCACAGAGCCAGGAGTAAGCCTCGAGCAGTGCCAAGTGTACCACCAACCACAGTAAACAAGTAACAAATGGCCAAAGGTAAGAGAGCCCAAGAACTGGTCTACAGAAATAGAGCTTACTCTTGCGGAGGGTATCGTGACGAAAGGCTACGTGCATGAAACCCTATCTTTAATAGGAAATCCTATATGGTGCCTAATACAAAGAAACAATGAACAATCCCTCCCTTCTCCCCACCCCCACCCCAAAATTAAGGAAGTAAAAACTATCTCTAAGAATCCCACTTGACACATTGAGGGGGATAGAGGTAAGGACATAAGTGTGATTCATCATTTACATAGATAAAACATTTGGCAGAGGAAAATTCTCTTGGGGTGATTAACCAAGGAGACACTCTATCTCCCAGGGACATGACATTGCTTTTCTCTTTCCCTCTAGCTGTCTATGTTATCAGTACTTGCAGTTGTCTGGATAAACCCAGTAAGAGACAAGGACCCCACTTAGCCCTCTGGGCTCTGAGAGCAAGACCCAGACCAAGTCTCCTCAGCCAGCTCAGCTTGTCCTTCCCATACGGTTCGGTCACTTAAGTCCTAACAGCTTGCATCCAGATCATGCATTTTTGCTCTCTAGAGTGTCCCATTTCGATGATGGAGTAGCTTTGCCACTCGCCGGGGTCCATCCCAGTCCCATGGCAGGACCTCCCTTCTGGAATGTTAAAGCCTGAGTCAAGTAATCATGAACAATGCCCAAGAGTAGATATGTTCAGAGTCAATCAACTTCCAAATACTAGGAGCATGGCACTAAAAGTCTTTCTGTGTTTGACCAGAGAACACTGCTCTACAGTAAATTATAAAACAGCGATAGGGGAAACAGAAAAGCAGGTACAAATACACAGCGCTTCAAATACAAAGCACTACAAATACAAAGTTCAGAATTACCAGAAAGTTTTGGCTTATAAGTAATCAAGACTGACTTGGAGAACTGTGACAACGAGAGGTAAAATACAAAGGAAAGGTTAAAGCTCAGGGAGGCGAGCAAAAGCACCACAAGCTTCTCTGAGAGGAGGAAAAGGGGCATTCACTGATGACGTCTGAAAAACTCACGGTTAATATCCAACACTAAATTACCTGAACAACTGCAGCAAAATGCAGCAAGAGAAAAACTAACATTTACTAGCTGTAAAATACGCCAAGCACAAAGAAATGACTTTTATACAATATTCATTTAAATTAATCCTGACACAGTCATAAGATCAGTATTTTTATCTCCATTTAATATAGAACGTTAGGAGGGCCAGAAAGACAGTACAGAGGTTAAAGCATTTGTGTCTTGCACAGGGCAGGCTGGGTTCAATCCCCGGCAGCCCCTATGGTCCCAAACCCACCAGGAGTTTTCTAGAAGTAAGCCCTAAAGGACCACAGGTTGTGGCCCCATATTTTTTTGCTTTTTTGGGGGGGTCACACCCGGCCATGTACAGGGGTTACTCCTGGCTCTGCACTCAGGAATTACCCCTGGCAATGCTCAGGGGACCATATGGGATGCTGGGAATCGAACCTGGGTAGGCTGCGTGCAAGGCAATCACCCTACCCGCTGTGCTACTGCTCCAGCCCCTGTAGCCCCAATTTTTTTAAATTCTTATTTAAAAAAATACTTTAGCAAAGAGGTTAAGTTGCCCAAGGTTATTACTAGTAAAGTGGAAAAATAAGTTTATCACAAGAATAAGAAAAAATATAATAATCAAGCAAGGTCTTAAAAGATTAATTACTGGAGGTATGGTGCCGCCAGCAAGTCAATCTGTACCTGTGAGGCGAGTGCACCAGCAGCCTAATGGCACCTTCAGACTTCCAGATACCCCAAAATTGCTACTGTGCCTTTGGCCAGACCCCAAAAACTTGGGGCAAAATTTACCAAGAAAGTAAACGGCCAAAAGTTAGGTATGTGGGAAACACACCCACAAATCACCTCCAGCTCAGCTATGTAATTGGAGGCATGGCCTCCTGATTGAGCTGCTTAATAGCCATGATCCTAGAGACTCAGAAACAAATCTTGAAACCCAGCGGCTTTTGGCAGAAATGCGTCCGGTCCCTGCAGTAGGGTACCGGTTCTGGGCCAACCCAGGTGGGAATAGGTTTCGTGCCTTGGCCTGTTCCCCCCTGGTGGCCCGGTGGCCAGCATCCTCAAGAGGCTTGGGCCTCTTGTTTGGGCCCCCAGTGACGAAACTTGTTGGGCCTTGTGGGATGGGGTGGAGCTGGGCCTGTCCTCCCCACCCAACAAGACCCCAAGTCATCGCCCACAAACGGCCTCTCTGGCTCCTGATCAAGCTGCTTAATGGCCATGATCCTAGAGACTCAGAAACAAATCTCGAAACCCAGTGGCTTTTGGCAGAAATGTGAACGGACCCTGCAGTAGATTACTGTCTCCGGGCCACCCCAGGGGGGAAAGGTTCTGTCCCTCCGCCTGCTTCCCCTTGGTGGCTCAGTGGCCGCTATCCTCCAGAGGCCATTTGACAGTCAGGCTTGGGCCCACAGTGATGAGACATTTTGGTCCTTACGAGATGGGGGTGGAGCTGGGCCTGTCCTCCCCCCCCCCCCAACAAAACCCCAAGTCATCAAATGGCCAACAAACGGCCTCTCTGGCTCCTGATCAAGCTGCTTAACAGCCATGATCCCAGAGACTCAGAAACAAATCTCAAAACCCAGTGGCTTTTGGCAGAAATGCGTCCGGACCACACAGTGGGTTACTGTTGCCGGGCCACCCCAGTGGGGGAAGGGTGTTGTCACTCCGCCCGCTTCCCCCTACAGGCTCAGTGGCCGTCATCCTTCAGAGGCCATCGGACAGTCAGGTATGGACCCGCAGTGACGAGACATTTTGGGCCTCACGGGATGGGAGTAGAGCCCGTCCTGTCCTCCCTGTCCCAAGGAGACCCCAAGTCATTGCCCACGAACGGCCTTTCTCGCTCCTGATCAAGCTGCTTAAAGGCCATGATCCCAGAGACTCAGGAGCAAACCTCGGAACCCAGCAGGTTTTGGCAGAAATCCCTCCAGATTTAAGTGTTAAAATTTCGGAATTTCAAAATCACGCGGCCACTACTGCAGCCATGTGACATCATATGTTATTCATAACGAGCAACAGAAAACAAATTGTCTACTGTTGCCTTTTCAGCAGATCTGAGTGTTGGGGTAAAATCTCAAATAATAATGGTAGGTGTGGTGTCAAAATGTTGAATGAAATCAAAGTTATAGAGAGTAATTTGGAAATCATCTGCCCCACAGGTAGGGGGAGGGTATGGGATGGGGGTATACTGGGGTTGTTGGGCGTGGAAAATGGGCATTTGGTGAAGGCACGGGTATTTCATTGTATGATCGAGACTTAGACCTGAAAGCTTTGTAACTGTTCTCACAGTGAGTCAATAAATAAAATTATAAAAAATTTTTAAAAAGTAAGGTGGAGTTCATGCACAATTCAATCAGCTAATCAGTGGCTGAATAAATAGCAGTACTCCTATATTTAAAAAAAAAATTACTGCAATTAAAATTTCTTTCTAGGTCAAACTTTATACCAGATTAGATACACTCTCAGAAGAGCTGTTTTACTCAACAAGAGGTAGACTTTTATGTTTAGGTATCATTTTTATTTTCTCTGAATCATACCTATACTTTATTTTCTTTGGGGTCATACCCAGTGGTGCTCAAGGGTTACCCACTGTACTGTTCTCCGGCCCCCATGCCTAAAAAGAATTTAAAGGTCTATATTGATCTTCCCTATGTCCCTCAGAAAAGCTCTCTGTAAGAGTTTATATTCTTAAATAGTGACTAATTAACGCTTTCAGAGATTTTTTTTTTAAGGAACCAGAGAGAAACTCCAAGGACTGAACCCTGCATGTGTGAGGCCCCGAGTTGATTCCCAGCACTTACATGAACCCCCAGAACTGCCAGGTGTAATTCTGGTGGCACCCACCACCAAGGGATCCAAGCAGCGTAACAGCTCTGGGCACAACCACTGAGCCTACAGACTGCCGAGTGGCCCGGGGTCTCCGGGACAATGCTTGGGATTGCTCAGGCCACCAAAAAGATTTTCAACAAAAAGAGAATACTGTGCCTAATGAAACATCAGATTTCCATTAACATGTTGATGCCTGGGCAGACCACTAGCGACCCACATTCGGATGTGGCTTAACAGACACGAACTGCAGCACCAGCATCAATTAGTTACAATATCAATGATAAGAAAATAGACAACAATTTTAAATATTTGGTTAACTAAAGTACTAAACATAAGTTTATAAACATAAGTTTATATATAATGTATAAGATACAAAAATGATTCAGTATCTACAGATATTCAGAATGGGTTTGGTTCTTCCGAAAGAAACAGAAACAAGGATTCAA